TGCCAAGGTGGGGGTATATGCCTTCCTCAAGAAGTACAACATCTTCGGGATCAACGACATCGTTGCGATGAAGAAGGCTGACCCTGTAGAGATGGCTTAAGTTCGGAAGGCGGAAGACGGATGCTTGGGAAACAGCATGACTGCCGACCTAGCGGCATCTGTGTGTGATCTTTGTTTTCCATGTGGGCAGGAGTGGAACATAGCACCATCTCTCAATTTTTTCTTTTCTGTGTGTGGATCTGCGTGGGGATGTGGGGGCGTGTGGGTGTGACGGTGGTGTTTAAGAGGCGAAGGTCGGGAAAGGACGATAGCGCTCGCGTGCCATGGACATAGTCTAAGAGATATAGAAAGTTCTTGTTTATTTCTCCGCAAAGCTTTTTACGCGCTTGGTAAATGCAGTGGGGTTTAATTGAGCGCCACATGCTTTCGATCAGTAAAGAATACCGCCAGAATGCCGAGGACGGGAAGGGAGAGAACGAAAATGAGGGTGCCGAGATGCGTGGGGGGAGACGGAAGAGAAAGAGAAAGAGGAATACAGTGGAGACGAGACTAGCCGAGAGCTTGATAGGAGAGTCGATGGTATTCACACACGCTCACAAGCATGTGCAAGCGCTTGTGAGCACTGCTTTGGATCGAGAGAGATAGTGCACGTAAAACACTTAACACCAAAGTAATGGAATGGGAAGTTACTACAGCATTAAACAATTCTGCACTAAAGAAGATCCCAATTTCCATGAACAAATGGCGATAAAATGACGTTTTTTTGGGGCTCAGTACAATGACTTCTCTGAAAAGTGACATGCTCCTCAGGACGATTCCCACTCAGATACCCCTCTTTTAATTCTCCGTCGCTCACAACGTCTGACTTTGTCACGAAAGGTATATAATGGACGAAATAATTTTATACTTTTGCTTGCTTACCATAGATAAGTGAGCATCAAAATGCCACGGAGTAGACCGATCAAAAAAGTACCTCTGATCGAAAACTTCCACAAGCCATCATTGATAAGTAATTGATGCCGTGCTAAAAGATAAGATGATTTCGTGACTTACTGAATGAGATTCCACCTGATCTGTCTGTAATTCCAACGTGTAGACTTAACTTGGCGAAAAGAGGCACAGCTCTTGCCCTTCCACAGAGCGTTCTTAGCCCTATCCCTTTCTTGCGATAAGAAAGAAAAGCTGGTGCAACTGTGCCTAAAACACCATGTGACAGGCGAGACGTACCATCTCTGACTCTCTTAACGTGCAGGCATTTTTTTAATTGGTCATTTCCGGCTCTGGGCGCGGCCACGACCCCGTCAAGTCAGCGTCCTGGCCCTCTTGCCGACCGAGGCCGGGGTTTTCCGAGCTTTGCTTGCCTTTACTTAACGGCCGAATATTCAGTCATCAGCCATCACAAAATCAGGAATGAAGCACGCCATGACCCCGGAGAAACGTGAACAGCCCCGGCAAGTCCGTCGGGGACTTGATCGCTTGGGCTTGTCGTTTGTGTTTTTGTTTTGCTTTTCATAAACACCGTGTGATACTGTTGTGGTGATCACAGCTTTGAGTGTGCATCTACAGCCCTTCACTTGGTAGATGCGGTAATTAGTCCAGGCGGGTAATTCGCCACCAGGAATGTTCGTCGTACCCCGACTTGCTTCAGATATCTATCAGATGTAGTTTTTCTCTTTACATTACCTTGTTCGCATCCAATGTACGTCGGCATGCACAAGGCAGTATTGGTCTAGATACGGCAGCTTACGGCAGAATATCCAGAGACCAGTCATCCATGTGCCATGTCTCAAGCTTTTTCAGTTCGAGTTCATGAAGCGGACGATGATGAAGAACAGCATTTGAAAGGAGAATTCTACGACACCGAGGGCAGAATATCTACCAATGTTGGCATGCAGTCTCTGGAAGACCACAATCGTGAAATACAGAGGTATGAGCGGAGGGATTGGATTGAAGGGGCTCAGGCGCGTTGTCCTGCAGGAAAGCTGCCCCGAAGATACTATCCAGAAAAATGGCAGAACACGATAATTCGAGACTCACATTAATCAATGCAATTTTTACAGAACCATCGAGGCATTCAGGAGTGCCTCCCATACTCTGAGCGTCCGCTCCTTGGGCTCGGAAGGAAATTCGAAGAGCCAAGTGCCAAATTTGCAAAGCGTGTTCGACAGCTTGCAGATCACTTCACAGGAGGGCAAGGTATCTTGAGACGATTGGTTGGACAAGAAGGGCGTGTCTGAGGCCAAGCCCTACCTCGACGTCTATCAGATTTAAGACCGAAGTCCTGCTCTTGCTGTGGAGGTGTTCAAGGGTTTGGGCTGCCACGTCGTGGGAGGAAAGGAAACAGAAGCAGCAGACGATTCTTGAACAGCTCCATTGGCTTGTGCCTCTGGTGACCGATCTAGCTCTTGGACAGTGCTCGAGGACCTCAGCATGGATCCCATGTTTCTCGTAGGCTTGTGCTTGTTGATAGATCCGGTCTCTTGGTCAAATGTTCGGTGGCAGTGATGGGCTCTGTAGTCCCCTGCAAGCTCTGCCAATTTTCTGGAAAATCTGTTGCAATCGGCAACAAATTTAGGTTCATGTAACATCCATCCTATCTGATGTTTGCACCTGTTTTTATCGATAACGTCTTCGACAGGCAGACGACAGGATGAGCACTGCAGACAACGGCGACGGGCCAAAAAGCGTGGCCGCCATGGCGAAAGCCTTGGCTGCCCAGCGTGGCGAGGAGTACGTGCATGACTTGCTCAAGGGCGAGTTTTATGACGACGGGGGGCGCATTACTACGAACGCGGGTATGCAGTCGGAGGAAGACCACGAGCGTGAGATTCAGCGGTACGTCGAAAGTGGCGACCAGGGAGCAGGGATAGAGGAAGGGGAATGATGTAATCAGGCATAGAAAGCACAAGGTCGCGTGGACGGAGAGGGTAGGGATGCTGCGCGTCAGATTTCTTCTTGTTAATCACCCTCCCTACATTACCACATACCCACGCACCTTAATACCACAGCACGATCCAGATGGTGCGAAGCGCCACACACGCTCTGAGCGTCCGGTCGCAGGGGTCGGAACAGCGCTCGATGAGTCGGATGCAAAGTCTCCGTGCCGTCTTCTCCAGCCGGGAGGACAAGGAGGAGGAAGCAAAGGTGCCTTTGGACGACCTCTTCGACGAGAACGACGTGCCTGTCACCATGACGCGGACCAAGACCGTGACCTCCCTGGACTCGGAGGGCTTATCCTCCGCCCTGGCCGCGGAACTCCTCAAAAAATTTGGCCGCAACGAGCTGCCCGAAAAGAAGAAACCAAAGTGGCTTATTTTCCTTGAGCAACTTTACCAACCCATGCCTCTGATGATCTGGGCTGCCATCATCATCGAGGCGGCCATCGAGTCGTGGCCCGACATGGGCATTCTCCTCGGAATCCAGTTTATGAACGCCTCCCTTTCCTACTACGAGACCACCAAGGCCGGCGACGCCGTTGCGGCCCTCAAAGCCTCCTTGAAACCCCTAGCTTACGTGAAGCGTGACGGAAAATTCCTGTCCATGGACGCGGCTCTCTTGGTGCCCGGTGACCTGGTCTTGCTGGGGGCCGGGGGCGCCATTCCCGCCGACTGTGTCGTGAAGGACTCTCAGATCGATGTCGACCAGGCTGCGTTGACGGGCGAGTCTCTCCCCGTGACTTTTTTCAAGGGCGACAGTGTGAAAATGGGTTCCACCGTGGTCCGCGGTGAGGTCGAGGCAACAGTGGAGGCGACTGGTGCCAACACTTTCTTCGGGCGTACGGCGGCTCTCCTCACCGGTGGGGACGAGGTCTCCAACTTGCAGAAACTTTTGATGCGAATTATGATCATCCTCGTCGTCCTCTCCATGGCCCTTTGCGGTATCGCCTTTGGCTATCTCTTATCGCGAGGCGAGACTGTCCGTGAGTCACTTTCCTTCACGGTGGTGCTCCTGGTCGCCTCCAT